AAGGAATTTTGTAATACCATATTTGAAAACAATTTTTCAGAAAAGAAATAATTGCATTTCAGAATTTATTAGAGTACATCAGTAAAAAAGTAATAAGTGAGCATCCACTTTTATGATTATGCTGAATTGTATTATAAAATCTATCAGCAATATAAGAGAAGATTGGAAAAAAAATGTCTGGGATACACAGTTTTAGTGTATTTGGCTGTCCTTGCTCTTCCATACCTATAAAATTTTCAATTTAGCAAAAGGAAAAGAATGTAAAAGAAATCATGGAGAGCTAAGGCATTGCAAAGGAAATAGTCAAAACAGATTGGTAGCCAGCTACTCTGTGGCAGGTTGGCATTTTTAGTACGCATCATAGGTAATTGTGAAACAGAGGAAAAATAGCTATTAATAAACCATTTCCAGCAGTTTCCTACAGGACTTAACATTTTACAGTTCAGCTCCTGAGGATGGATATAGCTGTGATGACCACAAGTTATGTGTTACTTTTGAGACATATAATGCTGTAGGAAAATTTTACTCTGTGAATAAAATTTGTCCCTAAACCTTCATGAGCAGTGATGCCTTGATCAGCCTAATTCAAGGTCTGTACTTTTTTTCCAACAGCTGCAAAGGGCCACAACTAAATGAGTATACTTAATGAATATCCAGAGACGGCAGAATGCAACTGCAACTGGACTTTTTTGATTATGTTAATAAGATGAAAGGAAATAATAAAGACTGGCACATCTGAAGCTTAAATTCTTTCCATTGCTTTAAGTGTCCCTTTTGAAGAGCATTTCTAGCTGAAATGTGAAGTTTATTCAAAAATGCTCAAATGCATCTTTCTAGAATTTAATGCTATTAAGCATTTGGCTGAATACAATTATTTGGAAGAAATGGGTCTTTAGAGATCAACAGTGTGGTGTGATTCATTGATCTAGTGAGGTCAGTGAAAAAATGAACAAGTTCCAGAGAGATGTCATTCAACATTAGAGCAGTATCTAGACTCCTAAGATCTTGAATATATTATGTATTCATGTATCTTTGTATGTGTGTCTTATATTGTGTGTGTGCATATATACATACATAATATGATTTGTGTCTAAATCAGAAAAAAGAAAATTTTAGCTTTCTTTTAACATTTCTGGGATTAATTTCACTTTGGATTGGGTCTTCAAATGCCTTGCACTTCAGATGTGAGTGGTCACATCTCAGGGTCAGTCAGTGGAAGTCACAGCTCTTACTTGCTTAGAGTAGGCTTTGGACCTTTAAATCCTTAAGGTTAATTGCTGTTACCTCCTTAAGGAAAGTTAGATAATTTCCTGTAACTTGGTTAACTCTGGAAGCATTAGCATCCACTAACTCTGTAAATGAAGCCATGTTAGATTGCTTCAGAAGTGAAGTTATACGGATTGAAGAGCAGAAGTGCACTTTCTTGCTCCTAAGTTCAGACAAGAAGAACAGGCAGAAGTGTACTTTCTTGCTCCTAAGTTCAGACAACAAGAAGAGGCCAAGACTACCTCAGATGCTCTCAAGGAGCTCTTTTATGCTCCTGTTTCCCATTTCTATCCACAGAAAAATTCCTGTACAGTTCCTCTCATCCTTTTACCCCTCAGACTGTATCCACACCACTAAATAAAAAAGGCCCAGGAAATAAGCTTATGCATGACACCTTTGGCAGGTGGAAAGGGAGAATCATCTAAAGGAAATCATTGTGTCTTCCTTTTAAGTGCTTTCACATTGAGAACAGAGACTGTGCTCCCCAGAAAATGCGGGTTTGTCTCCAGCCTTCAGAAAAGCAATCATATTACTTCTTGAAGCCCTATCTTGGCTTCATATGGTTGAGTTGTGTTTTCTGCAGTAACTTAGAAGAGTCTGTGGGGAAGCATCCTTGTTGGGCAGTACTCATGCTGCTTTATGAAGGAAATTGTAGAAATTCCCAGGATTTATGCTGAGTAAGCAAACTTCAGAAACAGCAGAGTAGTGTGTTTGCCCAGGGGCAGCACTAACTAGCCACCCAGTGCTTTCAGTGCTTGGGCTTGTGCTCTGTGTTGTACTGCTCTGTGATGTACACTGGAGATATCTTTTGGGTCACATTGACAGTCATTTTCTTGCTTTCCTGATTACACTGGTTCCATTTAATTTGGGAAAGTCTAGTCAGCCTGACACGTCCATAAATTAAGTATATGAAAAAACCTACAGAGGTCGTATACAATATTCGTGACATTATTACAGGTTGACATTCTCATACTAGCTGTATTGTGCCACACACCAGAATCCTTGCACTTGTTGTGGTGATCTGATAAATCAGAAATGAGATGTGTTTGCCCTTCCAAGAGCTATTTGCAAAGTCAGCATGAAACAAGAGATTCACTTCATTTGCTGTGTTAAAAACTTACATGGTAAAGCTTCCATGTCAACAAATAGCAGTTCACAGCACTATAGTTGGACACACAAGAACTGATTTTTCCTAGCTGAGATGCTACTTTTTCCTTTGAAGTTTTCAGGTGACCCTGTTCATTTTTCCCAAAGAGAGAATGAAATAAACAAAGTCTGATGTGATAGTCTTTCCATATCCACTGAATTCCCTAAGGTATCTCTGAGATTATTACATTTAATGCAAACGAAAGCAGTTTTCACAAGTTTCAACAACAGGTCACAATTTCGTTGGTTCATAATCAATAGAGTATAGGTCTTTGCAGATATATATATTGTTTCTCAGCTTTGAAACCATGAAATATGAGTACTAGGTATTTTTTATACATCTATTATGATTGTCAGTGCAACTTTAAAATACTGTCTTCTGGAAGGCTGACATGGATTTTCAAGAGCCCTGAATACATTCTGAATGTATTTCATATTATTTTTACTTCTATAGTTCGTGAAGTTTGTTTTATGTTTGTAATTCATCATTCCTCATGCTGGGTGATTCCAATAGTGTTTTTTTAATTCTGCAGTGAGATTCTCTGGTACCAATGTAGATATCAGTGGGCCTTCAGTGAGATGTATCTTCAGGCCTCATGGCAAGGCAGGGCCTCCTTTTTTTAATGTTTGTACAAAATATTTTTGTTGGTGGATCAAATTGATTTTGAGTATTTGCACAGTAGGTTTTTGAAGCTTTTGAAGCCTTTGAAGCAAAAATCCCTATTGTAATGAAAGTTTTACACAGATGTGGAATGAAGATTTAAGGTTCTAGTAGGGTTAACATTATTAATAGTTTGGTTCTTTGTATATTGTCAATGTAATTTTATTTCTTATTGTATAAGTGCTGTCCAACTATTTGCCTTTTTTATTCCTTTTTTTTAAAGATACAAATGCACTGATAGTATGCAACTTAGGAAGGCTCAAGACACCAACATGTTCCTAAAATTGTTGGGTTGTGATCTGCCAGCAAAATACCTGTGCAGCTCTGAATGTGGAAAAAATGTGGTGTGTTCCAGACTGCTCTCAAGGAAGCACTTCATAAAATAGAGGGTGAAAGTTACAGGGAGGAGTGAGAGCACTATTGGATCTGCTCAGCTTCATACATGTGAGGCAGCTCATAATCACTGCTGCCAAAAACCTGCCCTGGGAACTCTCAGCACAGCAGATAGAGATGGAAGCAGCACAAGAGGCCACATTAGCTGGGATCTGGTCTGTCTTTGAAAAAGAGTTTTCTGACAGTTTGGACTGCTGTGAGGCAGTGCCAGCTTGCTTGCCTTTCTAGTGCCCCTCCAAAGTTCTGATAGGTTTGAGATACTCCTGTAAAATGCTTACATTGAATTGCAGCAGCCTTTTTCTATACAATAGTGCTGTCAAAAATGTTCATCTCTTGATTTTATTTGAAGTGCTTCCTCACAACAGATGTTTCTAGAACAATTTTTAAATTTGTTTTTCCGCTTCAGAATAAAATTTGGAAATGAGAAACAAAAGTTTCCTTGTTTTTCAGAGGTATCGGTGTTCTAAAATGGTTCCTTGCACAAGTGGGGCTCTTCTTCACAAATCTGTGTATCAAATTTATCTTTCCTTTAAGAACTTGTCAAGTTGTCAGCCTCTTCTAAGGTCGTGGACTTTCCTCAGTTCTAGTAATCCTTACAGGAAATGGACCACATGTTTATTGTCTTTGGTATCCCACTGTTCCTTTTTTTCTTTCCTTTCAAGAAGTATTGCCATCTGTTGCTTTACAGATTTTTTTTTACATATTCTCTAATTTCTCCTTCATCACCATCAGGGTTTTGATCAATTTTTTTACTAGTTTTCAATAATTTTTTAAATAAGAAAAAAGAAATCTGTAATGCTCACTAAAGCATTAAGCAAGATAGGGTTGAAATGCAGTTATCTTACCATCAGATATTCTTGTGTAGTTCTCTTTTCTTTTAATTACAGCCTCTGAGCACATTTTTACTCACCATCAATTACCACCCGTTATCCTGCTCATCTGCAGTAATGGTATGGTGGCAAAGCAGAAACAGAGTTAAAAGATAAAGCAATTACATTGTAAGAATTCACTGTGTCCTTATGTGAAGAATGAAAACTCTGAGACACTTTTGATGGTGGAATACAGTGAGCTGAGCCAAGACTGCCCAGCACAGTCTTGTTCTATAAACACCTAGAGCAAAATGTGCCATGGTTTGACCCCAGATGGCAACTCAGCTGGTTTTTGTGCTGGTGGGGTAGTGTGAGATGGAAAAGGCCTTGGTTCTGTGTAAGTTCTGCTCAACAATGACAAAAACATCCCTGAAGTACCAGCAGTTTCCAGCATAAATCCAAAACACAGTGACGTGCTTGCTACTATGAAAAGAAATTAAAAAATTAACCCAGCCAACCCCAGCACAGCATGATCATGTATCCCATAATCCCAGCTGGACATGAGCTGGTCTATTCAGATGTCATGGTGCCACATCCCTAAAGGATATTAAAAAGGGTGCTTATCTAAATATAATGCTTGAAGATAAATCCAATGTCCATGTTAGTATGAGTGCATATATCACAAGAAGGCAATGCATTATCTTCCTTCTTTCTGTTATTTTCAGAACCAAATTTTGTGTCATCTTATGATATTGGGAACTTTACCTACTTCTTCTTCCGGGAAAACGCAGTGGAACATGACTGTGGGAAAACAGTTTTCTCTCGTGCTGCTCGGGTGTGCAAAAATGATATTGGTGGCAAGTTTGTGCTGGAGGATACCTGGACTACCTTCATGAAAGCTCGTCTGAACTGCTCTCGCCCTGGAGAAATTCCATTTTACTACAATGAACTTCAGAGTACTTTCTTCCTGCCAGAACTGGACTTGATCTATGGCATTTTTACCACTAATGTGTAAGTAGACTGAATGATATATTTTATTTTCTTGCTGTTTGTGATGCCAAAACCTGAAGAACTTCTGAGCTACTCTCTTCAGCATATGCCAAGTAAACATCATGAATTTAAACTGTTGTTTTGCCCAATCTACTGTTTTCTGTGAACAAGTATCAGTTCCAAATGTTTTCCCTCATGAAATGTTGAAAACACGAGAGAAGGAATAAATTCTTATTATTTCCTTACTGCAGGGAGCCAGTTGTGTTTAAGACAATTCTTTCATAGTCTTCACTTATTGTTAGGAAGTAATTAACTTTTATTTTTACTATTGTAATACTCAAATGCATTATGTATTTATGAAATAAATGATTTATAATTGCAATGTGACACAATCATGAATTTGACATGATGGAATTTGACCATGTCATAGAGAACTCATCTTACTCAAAACAGCACAAGAGGTGCTCCTAGGTATTTTAATATAGTTCTAACATGTCCTTATGTGAATTTGAAGGCCAAACAAAGAATTTAACCTCATTTTAAGTGAATGTGTTATATTAATAAGGTAAAATTAAGGAAAAAAAAAGTACAATTTGGTATTAGAAATTCAAATTTGTTAAATATTAAAAAGTTGGATGGACATAGAAAAAAAGAGACATTTATCTCAGAAATGTCCTTTTTAAATTTAAACATGATGACTTGTGTTCAATGCTCCTCAGTGAGAGCAGCCTCTGTGTTATGGCTGTGCAGCCCAATGTTCAGACCACTGGAATAATTTCTGATTTCGAGTTCTGATTCTACAACCTTCTTGTACTGTCTTGCTGTGTAAATCAGTTTTGTCTAGATTTTAAAAGATCCTTGGGCACCTAAACCATAGGTAAGGCACCCCTGAACACAGGGATGCCTACCTTTTATAAATATCCATTAACCAGTTGGAAGCATTCACAGATTAATGCCAACAAATTATAATACCTATGCATTCTAGACAGTGAGCATGAATTTGAGCTCATTTAGGCATCTTCTAGACTGAGGCTCACCCCTGGGCTGGCAGCTCAGGCTGTGAGCAAGACTAGTGATGAGATGCTTGCACTAGGCTAAGTCATGACATTGCTGCTGACATTGCAGCCTGTTTCTGCAATGGAATAATGTAGGGAATCTAAACACTGTTATGTAAAGAGAAGAGCAGAGACTTTGAGATTACTGGCGATAAGAAAATTTGCTGTTGTTTCAATCAGTACTTTTAATCTTGTTGTTCTGTTTTCCTAGTTAGTTCATATACTAAAAGACAGATATTTGTCAGGTGGCTTCCACATTCATTCTTCAACCAGATCTTTCTTGAGAAGTCAAAGTAGCCTGGATATGTTCCTCCCATGAAAAGTCTTATCAGAGGAATTCTGCTCTAGAAAATCCACAGAGCTTTGGCCATGGAAGGGGAATGATGTTCCTGATGCTTCCTGGCTCTCCTGAAAATGGACTTGCTATTGTTAAGACTACCTTTGCCACAAGAAAGTAGACAGTATTTTAAACTTGCCTCTACTTTCTTCTTCCCCTGTGGCCCAGTGTTCTGACTGTCCAAGAGAGATGAACTGTTCAAAGAAGAACCAATTAATTATAAAGGTTTGAGGGTACAGTTTTTCAGTTGCTCTGTTTAAATGCCTGCCATCAAATGTTGTAACTAAATTTTTTAAATATTTTTGAAAAGTTTTAGAGCTAGGATTACTTCCCCATGCTGACACCTGTTCACAGATTGTGGAACCCATATGATCCACCTGTCTGTCCTGCAAGAGACGGTGGAGAAACACAAGGGTGTCCTATGACAGGGGACAACATATTCCTTTCTGTTCATGAAATGGCATCAGATACAATTTAATGGTATTCATAATTCTTCAGTCTCAATAACTTGATAATTAAAATTAATTTATTGTACCTTGATGCTTTTTTAGTATACTTTAATATACTTGTGGAGGGAAAAAATGGAAACATTTCTCTGACAGCCAAACATGCACCTTTTATACATCATTGACTATCAAGTCCACTTTAGCCACTGCTTCATAAAAAGCTGATTTTGTTTCTTTCAGACTATCCAAAAAATCTATAATCATGAGTCTCATGTTTATAGAGTCTCATGTCCTCATAGGACTTCATGAAATTCAAGAAAACAGTGGTACAGTTAATAATATTAGTGAGATGCAGTTAGTGATATAAGCAGGGATTTATCAGCTCCAATGATGATTGATTCTGCAGAAGTTGTAAGCATGGAACTTCAAGTTTTGGACTTCCTTTTGGCTTCCTTTGAAATAAGAGAGACAAGCATAAGAAAGCAATTTGCTCTTTTGTCCTGGTATTTAATCTGTATATCCTAACTCTTTTTTCAGTTGTTGGGGTTTTTTTCCAATCATTATGGAGTTTCTATAGTAGGTTTTCTTAAGCCTTGTGTAAATTCCAGGGTAAGCTTAAAAAAATTAGTGGGGAAAAAAGAAAAACAGAGAAGAATTCTGTGTGGATCAGTTGCCAGCAGTTTTAGCTGCAACAGGAAATCTGTGCAATTGACACCTTCATTATCTATTCCATTATCTCAAAATGAGGAAAAGAACAATGCAGCTTTCCATATTAGGAACTTTCATAGCTTTTAGATTATATTCTTTGCACCATGCAGAATTAATTTATTGCCTTGTACATCACATTTTCAAGGCAAACCCAGGAAATTGTGTGTTTTGCCCAGCTGCCATTTATTGATGTTTATTTTTTTAACATGATATCTTGTAAGCAGTCCAAGTTGTTTTCTCTTGATGGGTTTCTGCAACTTGCATTCTTATTGCTGTACAACATCTCTTGGAAGACAGGATTGTTTGTGGATGTGTCTTGTCCAGGCATTCCATAGGATCTAGAGACATAACACAAATTGAAAAACCTTACTTATGTTATGTAGTCATTTGTTGTATGGAAGAAACTTCATTGGACCCTGAGAATAATATCATCCTGAACTTTGTACCTAGAAAAGAGGTGTCTCATGGTATTAGAACAGCAGCACAAAGTAGGAAGTTCTGAGTTTTTCCCCACACCAGCTTCTTGGTAAGGCTGACAAATATTTTAAATGAAATGACTATGCTAAATAAGCTCATCGTTTATCATTATCTTGAGATATCATCTCCTGGCTGATCATATTTGCTACTTGAAGGATTGAAGAGTTATTGCCTTTTTATTTATTTTTCAGCAATTTGACTTAGTGTTATTACATATGTTAATGTATTTATTTCTTTTGCAGGAACAGCATAGCAGCCTCAGCAGTTTGTGTTTTCAATCTGAGTGCCATAACTCAGGCCTTTAATGGACCCTTCAAATACCAGGAGAACTCTCGCTCTGCTTGGCTTCCATATCCCAATCCTAACCCTAATTTTCAGGTATGGGTATGTGGCAGAAGGACAATATTTTATGTGAGCTTTCCTCACAGTACTGTATGGTTCATAAATTATAAATCTAGTTTTTCACTATAATGTAGCCTAAGACCTTAAAAAAGCCTAAATTAAAAAAAGTGCTTAGGAGAGCCCCTTATTTCAATGTATTTAATTTTAATTTTATCCTTCCACAAAAATATTTGGGTTGAAAAAACAGATGTACTTTGAAAGGTTGGAGAAAAAAGGCTTAACTTCAATCTTCTGTCAAAATAAAACGCTGTGGTTGTCTGTCAAGGTGACATTAACTCCCATCTGAAGTATGATCAAACTACCAATCTCTTTTACATTGTATTCGTGCTATTAGGACTTAAAAAATTGAACAGTGTCTGGCAGAAAAAAGAAAGTGAGAAAGAGGTGGTAAAGGAGGAGTGGTCAGAATTTTATATATTTTTATGTGCAGGGTGGTTCACACTCCCTGAAGAGTCAGATTAAAAGAATTTATGTTACGTTCTTCCCGTCATTTGAACTTGTTGGCCTCAGAGGGTGTAATAATCTGCAGCTGTGTGACAGTGTAAAACCAGTTAGACCAAGGTGGGTCATTTAGAGGAACTCTGCAAAAAGAAAGGTGTATTTCAGTAAGCACATATACATTGTTTTCATCTTTTTCATAGTCACCACTCCTACCAGGACAGTTTTTAGTGAGTGTGCTTCTTGCAAGGGATATGGAAGGAAAAGCAGCATTAATGTTGTGATTAACAACAATAGCTTTTCATCAAGGTATTTAGTGTAGTCACCTCTATGCACCTTTCACCCTCACTTAATCTCAATGCAATTTCACAAGTTCACTTCTGCTCCTGGAACAGCCTTCCGTAGCTTGTAAGAGCCATAAGATCTTTGCTAGCATGAACAAGAATCACCCATTGGGGATGGTAGGTAGTTTTAATTACTTCCTGATCTATGCAAATGAAGGAAAATAAGGCACAGCTTACAGGGTAGAGCCATTTTACCTTTCCTAAGTAGTATGTTTGTCATCAGCCAAGTGACAAGACTGTAAGTATGCCAGAAGCCTGCACAAGCAGGCTGTATTTGTATGCAGCTTTTCACCTGTTGTAGAAACAGGTATTTGACAATACTTTTATTGTCAAAATAGTGATAGGAAGAGAGTCTAAGATAGGCTAAATTTCTTAAGGAGAAAGCCTGAAAACATGCTTGTATGTAAAAATCCTATCACCTTTCTGACTAGGTAAGCACATCCAATAAAACTTATTAAACTCTCCCTTACAATCTTTGCATTAATGTGGTGTTAATTATTGTGAGAGCAGCCCATACTGGATGGTACTTACAAAGAAAGATGACAGCCTGATGGCTGTGTAAAAACAGTTTAGGTCTCTGCTGTACTGTTAGTGCATGTCTCCAAGTCCCAAACAAGACAGGTGTTGAAATTTATTTCTTAGATGGCCTGGCTGATTTTAATGCAGCTGGTACTTCATCCAATTTACAAGAACAGTGACAACAGTTGTATCATATCTCACTGAGCCACAAACAGCTTTGAAGGCAGAGCTAGTGTTAAAAGCTGTAATGTGGCCTTTTGCAACAAAATATTGAAGGCAATTGATGTCAACTGATCTCTAGGTATCTCTAATGTCCAAATTCTCTTCTTTTGCTGATGCTGCTTTTTATTCCCTTGAATAACTTTCTGCTACATTTCTGGCTCCATAACTGCAGCAGTGATGCATACTAGAAGCTAGTCTAATGCTTAGAGATTTAACCATTTTTTGTGACTTGACTTTGTGACTTTAGAGTACACACCTCACATGGGTGTACTCTATAATATTCATTGACTGAGTCATTGGTTTCCTTCTGAGAAAGGACTTTTCTTTGGTAGAGCAGTTATGATAAAGGATCAGAAGTTTTGTTTAGTCCCAGAAGTTCTGTGTAGTCCCAGAAGCAGATTTATCCTCTGAGTATTCACCTACTTACTAGCAACAGAGAGAAGTCTGCAATTTGAAGGAAGACTACTGCTATTTAGATATAGCAACATCAGACATTACATTTCCAAGACTGGTTTATATTAATTATTTTCCATTTTTGAATACTATTGGAGTCCCAATTTTGAGGAACATTGTTTTCTTCAGAGATCATTGCTTTTCTCTTTAGACAGGGCAATGTCTATCCTATGACCAAGGACCATTTGCATTTTACTGTGCTATGGCTATTCAGTTGGAATTTTTCCTGCTTGATAGATCCAGAGAACTTCTTTGGTGTGGTCTATTTTTTTCACTGGTCTGACATACAGAGCAAGTAACTGTTTCCTGCCAGTTGCTAATTTATCATCTTTGTCATCTGATCTCCCATTATGAAATAATTTGTTTGACTTTTTTTTACATTTGTGAATTTGGAACAATCATTCAATTTTGGATTGAAAATATGGTAATAATAATAAAAAAACCTGGTATGGTTTTGCACACTATTATTTTGCTCATGCTATAATTCATGGCATAGTTTATGACATAGTAAAGCAGAATGAAAATGGTGACTTAGTTATGCTTTCACGCTATCCAAATATTTGATAAATGTTGTGAAGTAGTGCTTTACTTTGCTGATGCATTTATGTCTGAGTAAACATGTTTACTCAAGTAAATGTTTATATATTCCCATGCATGAAGAAGCTTTCTCTTTTGTGTCTTCAGTTGAACACAAATATGTTATAATTAACTCCCAGTTATTTTGCTTTGTTTATTTGTGTTTGAAACTTGTCCATACAGCTAATGTATGTTTTCCTTTCAGAAAAGAGCACAGCTTTCATATTAAGAATATGGTCAGTTTTAATGCAAAAAAAAGCCTTTGCTGTGGATAATATTTAATAGAGCTCTGCACTGTCCATTTTTGCTACTTAAGACAGAGTCCTAAGAGGCTTCTAGAACTACATGTTGTACTGTCACCTGGGATTCCTGTCAGACGCTGGCTGTGGTAGGGCGTGGGGTTTCCTTTGAAAATTTGTTATGTCATTAGCACTGAAGTCTGTGAACATTATAAAGAAAACTAGACAGAAAATCATTTGGTTTTTTGAATGGTAGTTTTTCTCCTTCCTGTCCTATGAACATAGGATATAGCAAAAGATTTCCATAATCCACTCTTGATGGTGCTCTTCCATACTGTTTAGAATTAGGGAGCCTCCATAGTATTGCTCAGGAAAAATGAGCTCCCTGAGTCCTTGAACAGTCTGGTTAGCACCAAAATGGGACCTGAAAGTCAAATTTTACATTGCCATTACGAGATATGCTCTTGCTTTTATTTTCTTGTGCTGTAAATCAGAGAGTAAATCTATTGTTATTGTTGGCACATAGAGTCATGCTACTTTTCTGTCTTTACAGTGTGGCACCATGGACCAGGGTTTGTATGTAAATCTGACTGAGAGAAATCTTCAAGATGCACAAAAATTCTTCTTAATGCATGAGGTTGTTCAACCAGTTATTCCAATTCCTTACTTCATGGAAGATAACAGCCGATTTTCCCATGTGGTTGTGGATGTTGTGCAGGGCAAGGACATGCTTTTCCATATCATCTATCTTGCCACAGGTATGAATCTCCCTTGCTGGGATAACTGCAAAAGTTTATGAGGTCTTTGGGTTTTAATGTTCTGTTAATTACAACGTGTACAGCACGTTGAGCATCTGCTTTTCCTCTTTGACACAATCACCTGTCTATCTTCTACCTTTTCTGAATAGATCAATTTAGCCACTACAATGTCTTTTATGTTATTTTGTGAACTCCAATTTTGGTGTTTGTTTCCTATTCTCTTTGGAGCTGTGAAGCTTGTAAATGAAATTAAGCATTGGAAATTCTACAAACAGGCCTTCCAAAGTTTCACCATCTTTTGTTCCATTTACTTAGTTAAAGGTACAAAGTTAAGGGCCCAAGACAAGACGGTTTAGGACTCTCTGATAAAGAAGTAACTTTGTAAACATCAAATACAACTACTCTTTCTATTCTGAATTTTTTGCTCAAATATATTTTATTAAATTTCCTTTTAATCTCATTTTTAAGATATTCATTATGCAGTTTTATACCCTGCCTCATTGTTTGCCCATTTATATGTAAGCTTAGCATGAAAAGAAAAACAACCCTCCACCCTCCAACCCTTCATTAGAGCTATTGCCTTCTTGGTTCAAAATTTCAATCTTAAAAATAATGAGGGTGTTGGAGAACTGTTTTGCAGAACAAAGGCGTCCCCAGCTGAGACTGAAATACTCAATTGGACTAATAAGTTTAAAGCCTCAAGGCATAAAACTTAGGATAGTTCTTAAGTACTTGGGCCTATGCACATTAGTAGGGAATAGTTCATCAAAGCAATGGTTTGTTAATGTTCAGTTTGTCTCATTGTGCTCTTTGGAAGCTGGGCACTAACAGAAAAGCTTTTGATAGGTTAAAATATGCTTGGATTTGACCAGTTCTAGTCAAAACAGCCTGCTGGTTGGTAAATCAGAGCATTTTAAGTGAACTCATGCCAATGATAAGTGGTGTTTGTATTGTAGAGGCGTCCTCACCAAACCTGAATTACATATACATGCACTGAATTGATTTTATATGAAGAGACTATCACTACGTTGTGGTAAATTTACATTATTTACAGTCTTGGAAGCACCTAGAATAATGACTTTTGTCATAATTCTGATTGTCTTTAGGTTTCAGTTTCCCTTGGTGTGTAACCATTTACATTTGAGTCAGCAAGTGAGGATCTAAAATTTTACGCTTCATGGTTCATTAGTAAATTGTGTTTGGGAGTGATTCCGTGTTCTTTTTGTGCTGCTAGAAAATAGATACTGCTCCTATGCTCCTTGTGATGTATGCTTGCCTTTCACTTTCATTCTTCTCTCTATGTCTGATTCTGATCATTCATGGAAGCAGGGTACTTATCTTAGCTGGATCTTTAGTCTAAACTCTGCACATGCTTTCCTCTAAGTGGACAGTGTATGTTTTATAAGTGTGAGAAAGCATATGATAAAACCCCTGTTCTATTCTTGCAGTTTTCTTGATGTAGTCAATTCTATTTCACATGTATTTCACTGAATCACAGTGGATTTTGTTAGCATTCCTTCTACCCCAATAGAGTGTAAGTGTTAAGACTTATTTTCTAAGAAATACTAATACTCACTTTTGGTACAGAAGGTAATTGTACCTTCTTATTGTACTTTCTGCTGCGTCTAAGAAAGTGCATTCAACTCTGATGTAAGTTCTGCCAGTATGCAATTTTCACTTAGCAGTGTAAAGCAGGATGGATCCAAACCAAGCTGTGAGAGATGTACACCACATAACTATTATAGTTATAATTAATTCCAATGTTCTCCAAAAATTGTCTTTGAAAATGCACAAAGCTTCAGTGGAAAAGTAGGCATACAGATTGGATTTAATAAAAATGAATATTCTGCTGTCTTTGTTGTTCAAAGACAAAATCCCATTTTTTGAAACAGATGGCCAATAGTTAAGAGAACATTCTTTCTCTCACCTACCTACCCTGTTTTTAGAATACAAATATTACAGGGGAGAATGACCCTGGAAGTATAAATGTATAATCTAATTTGATTAAACCTGAAATAGACGTAGTATTACTGATGTAGTGTTATTTTAGGAGAGACTGAGAGTAAGCAAACAAATGCATTAAACTGCTGAGTCAACAGTCTTCATTTCCTAAACCTTTGCCAAATCATCATTCTGCTAGGAGGTTCTGGTGTGCTAGGGCTTAACAGCTACTGCTTATATAAAAAATATGCTTTGGTACTTTGGAGAAACATCTTAATCTTTCACTGTACTGAATTCTAACACAAAATGAAGGGTTATATCAATTCCTGCACATTTTGTGCTGCTGTCTTTAGGCAAGAAGTAATCCCTGGAACAATTTTCCATGATTTAAAAAGGAAGATCAAGGAAAGCATGCATGGATGAACTAAAGCATTCATGATGTTCTGAGCTAAAAAACATCTATAACAATACATAATATGTAGAGCAAGCTATAGAAACACTAAATATCTGTAAAACTCTCCAAGTTTGAAAGGCCTCTTTCTTCATAAAAAATTATAATCCAATCAATATATCATAGTTTGTTTCCCTCTCTTTTGTCTCTTCTCCCCTATCTTTGTATTTCTTTCTTCCATTTTATTTCTTCCCTACACTATAGGTGCCTATGTGTCCCATGGTTAAAAATGTTGCTGTTAGGTTTTTTCAAAATAAGATACTGCAGCAAGAGCAGGTAGCCCTTATTCAGATGACTTTTTTAAAATGTACTTATTTACGCAAATGAATAAGAAAATTATTAGATATAGTGTCTAGTTTGAGGGCTTTAGGAACATATAATAAACTTGGAAGTTCAGAAAAGGTAATACTTGCACTGTCTGGTGAAAACCTTTAAAGGCCATCCTTAAAAACTGCTTGGTGAAAAAATTCCCATTTTTCTGTTCTTCAATCCCACTGTACAGAGAATGTCCCCTCTGTATCCTGAGTAGAAGTGTTATATGCCCAGTGGTAGATCTCAGTTATTGGGATTTATAGGACAGCATTGATGAAATTGGGGTATGACTGACCTAGAAAGAGAGTATGAAACCTGAACCAAGATTTATTGTTGGCTACACTGCATGTATCTAAAGAGTGAATTGTTCACTGAAGCGAGCCACAATTTTTATGCCATAAATCCAGGTTTTACCTGAGGCTTAAAGGTCACTGGAGGACGTTACAACGGGTGTCGCAGAAATCCTTTTATGAAAATCCTTTTCTTAGGATTTTTTCCTGCTGAGAAGCTGAGAGGTTTCAGTGACAAAATGTAAACAATGGTTATCTGCTGCTGTGGAATGCAACAGGTGCATCTGTGGTTGGCCCATCTTGGATGTTTACAATTAATGGCCAACCACAGCCCAGTTCACTTGGACTCTCTGTCTGAGACACAAACTTTTGTTATTCATTCCATTCTATTCTTAGCTTAGCCAGCCTTCTGAGATGAAACTTTTCCTTCTATTCTTTTTAGTATAGTTATAATGTAATATATATATATAATAAAATAATAACTCAAGCCTTCTGAAATATGGAGTCAGATCTATGTCTCTTCCCTCATCCTGAAAACCCCTGTGAGCACTGTCATAAACAGGTTTCCAAGTTCTAAAAATTGCAGTTAGCAATGCCAAGAATAATGACAAATACAATTCTGATGAAGAACATACAGCAATTATAATGAACAAGTAGAGAGGTTTCATGAAGAAATTTCAAATTATGTTTTTGGAAAATGCAGATAGAAATTTCATACATTTGCCTTTAGAAGCATTGAAACAGGTAGTAAATATCCACAAATGTAACATTTTTTTCTCATGAAGCCCTGAAACTGTAGATTATACAGAAACTAGTCCCAGTCTAATAAAGAGATTTGGAAGTTTGCTTGAAACTCAGTTTGGGAATGCCATCATAACAGTTTGTATTTCTTCTGTTTGTCTTTCTCGATGGGAGTAAATTGATGCCAAGTATTACCTGATATGATTCCTCTGTGATTTTTGTTACAGTTCCATCTTGTAAATTTTCATTTGTAATCAGTACACTTCATTTTTTTCTAGGAAACAACCCAAGGTCTTAGCAAGAAAAAAGGTTGTGTGTGTTCTTACTTAAAAGTCTCTGATGAAATATTGTCATTTTTCTGGTAGACTACAGCTTCTGATCAAAGTGGGCAGCTTTCACAGTTCAATACACATGGTATCAGAATATATGTAGTATCTGTGCAGTTGCCATCCTGAAAGTTATAACCAAAAATATGTGCTTATATATGTTTCATACATGGCAAAGAGAGCAACAAACCTTAAGTTGGCTGCATTTTTTCCAATTTGGTGCTATTCCTGACTGTATTATCTTAAGTGCATTGAGGTTCTTGGAAGTAATCTGTAAGTAACTTCTGTAGAAAGGAGATACAGACATTTCATCTCAGTTAAGAACCACTTTCTTTGTCTAGAAATTACAATATGAATGCAATAACAATAAGGACCAAAGTAGCTGTTATTCGAGTCAGAAGTCAACTGTGAAAGTAATAGGTAGTCTATTTGCATCTACTTATCCTTTCTAGCTCAAAACCAGAAACAGTGGAATCAGAGTACAGATGGATAATGGGGCATATACACTGTGGCACACAGTTGTCACTTTTTAAAAAACATTTTTCTTTTGTTGTTACAGAAAACACAGTTGTTTTGTTTTTTATGCCTTTGCTTGACAAAGGTATAGTGCACTTTTACAGAGTTGTAAAGAACCCTTGCAGTGGCTTTAAAACTATTTTCCTGTAAATTGTTGCCTTCTGGCCTTATGCAATGCCATTTCAAGTGCCTTGAAGGAAGGATGCTCATCAGTTACTTTGATTGGGAAAGGTGGTGCATGTTGGAAGACACCAGTGCTGACAGCAATGTGATGATCTTGAACATTTGTTTCAAAAAGTCAAACAGGGAGCCATAAAATTAATAACCTTACTCTCTTCTGCTTTTGCAGTGACACCTATTTCTGATAAAGGAAAACCCTAGCTGAACTAACACTTTGTTTGTATTGTTAATCTTTTCAGGAAA